AACTAAGATGGCTCCTACTTCCCGCGTGAAAACTAGGTGCGATGGATATGTTTTCAGCTATAGCTGATCACTATTTCAACTGAATGAAATGGAAAATAACAAACAACTTAAGCTAACTGCACCCACAGTGCACTGTATACTGCCTTTCTGTATCGCGTCATGTGCAGTACATTTAGCTGACTCAGCTGTTGTTGAACACGATCGTTTACATGTGTACGATGATACCTAAGAGCGCGAAATATTTTTGTGTACGAGGTAGTTGAGACTACTAGGCAAGATGCTACAACCATACGGCCAAACCAAGAAGTGATACGGTAATCTAAAGTGTAGCATAAAGCACCGAGACCAGATACAATCCAAAAGGTAGCCACAACGACACCTGTACGCTTCAAAGTTACAGTTTGTCTGTATCTCAGCCCCAGCAGCAGAGCGAGAAGTCTGTCCACACTTATGGCCGTCATTGTCAATAAAGATACAGAACATAATGCATAGCTTGCCATGTAGGTTGCGTCCCTTACAGGTCGACAAAGACTCCAGTTTTCTTGAGCCACGAAGATCCGATAAGTAGCATAAAGTGGCAGGGCAACAAGACCAACCAACAGATCAGTTGTTGCCACACAACGATACAAGAGTTTGGACGGTGGGTGAAGAGAAGATTCTTTGTGATTCTTTCTGTTGTTTCTGTAGTTCTCCTAGATAAGAAAGAGAACATACCAGTTCTTCAAATGTCGTCTGCATTCCACTTCCTGTTGGATTTGCTACTGCCATCATTCAGTCGTTTCTTATTTCTTGTGGTTATCTCAGATTACAACGAGGGATATTTCTTCCAAACAGCCACGATCACTTACTCTACTAGTAATTTTTAAATTAAGACTTCCTTAGCAACGTTCACATTCAAAATGCGTGGGAAAATAATCTGCTGTTTAAAGTCACAAAGACAACTTTTCAATACCGGAAGATGGAATGCTCAGAATGAATTTACTACTAATTGACTTGTATTTTTCACTGTAGTAAGTTCGCTGAGTCGTTGCAAAAAACTATTGCCTGATATTTCTGCATGCAGTACAAGATTTACATAAAGAAAGTTTAGTGTATCACCGATTAAGCTCAGTTTCGTTGAACCCTCAAACTCCCAATATCTGATTGGTAATTCTCTCCTTTAGTTGCTACACATTTCTTTGTAAATTGGTCATGAGAATTTGGTGTTAGATCAAGATAACTACTTCTACCTGATAAGTTTGAATATTCTTATTACCTGTTTTCTGGATAATGTATGAATACCATGTGGAGAAATTACATGTTTAATCACTGCTAGGAGTTAAAATGTTAATAAAATTTGGTCCTATAAAAAACGTTAGGGCGGAATAGCATGAGGAAACAGATATCTAAGTATTTGTAAGATTAGACGAACCTTTAGTGAAGGATTGTGATCAAGTGTTAAAAGACTCATCGTTATTTCAACAAAAATATAATTTGCGAGTGCAATTTATGGTCTTTGAAATTTTTCAAATGCTTATTTACATCAAATTACACGAGAAATCATGATTTTACTTATTAATAATTAGCATGAAAAAAACATTAATGAACATCAAGATAGACGAGATTTTGTCTGCGCACGGTTTTTGAAGTTCATTTAACTGATTCGCTGAAATTCGCTGGAAAAAATCCAGAACAATCTTAATAAGTAGTTTCTTAGAAATCGACTTTGAAATGAAAGCTAGCGCTAAGAAGTCACGACGTTTCGACCTTTCTGAGGTCATTTTCAAGTGAGTAAGTTTTCCAAATCAGCATAAATATGTTGAAATAACTTGGATATATCAACAAAGTTGAAGTGGTAAATTGGCCACCGTAACGATTACAAAAGCTGACGTTTCAAGCGTTAGCCCTTCGTCGGAGCGAATAGAGGAATTGTGGGTTGTATGTACTTTTAAAGGCAGAGAATGGAGCTACGTTATTGGTGGGAACATGGCAACGAGAAAAACAAGAATAAATTAGTGGAATGAAAAGCGTTCGTTGATCCCTGTGGGA